TAGTTGAAGTTGAGTCAGATGTTTCATGTAAAATGTATGTATATGAATATGATAATACAAAAAGAGTCGACAGGTTTTGTGCTGCCCGTCCAAATTAAGTTTCAAGCCAACCACCAAAGCTGCAGAAACTTAATTCATCACCATACATACTAATGTCCAAGTGTCTAAGCTCAACTTTAGTGTTATTTTTGTAGTTGTAACAACTACTTTTAATAATTTGATTCTAATCAAATAACATGGTAAATATGCATTTGTTTTGTTCCATTTTGCCTTGGCAACCATCAGATGAAATGATTGAAAATTTTTTCGCTCTAAATGCTTTTCAGGCAAGCTTGGTGGTTTTTGCAACAAGTGGTTGTTTGTTTTATGAACTTGTTGGAAGTTGGGTTTGTTTCATGAATCTTTGTCATTGTTATCTTCCGAGAAAACAAAGGAAAAAAGATTTTATCCATTTTTGGTAGATAGATACATATAGTTATAGTCCCTTGTTTTATCAAGATTTATTTCCACAACGGTTTCGCCTCCCTAATGGATTGCCCAACTCAGCAGTCAGCATTATGCTGAGATCAAGACATTAATTTAATTAATGGTCATTCATTCAACAGGTTTTGATTGAATGCAATAAATGTTTTTGATTGATAGAATTCACCCATAATCAACATACATCTTTTGATTAATTTCTCGCTTGACCCTGTGCCCTAGAACTATAGAAGAAATTTCGACGTACTTTCGTAATGAGCAATTGTTGGATGCCTGGATGGTTGAATCAATTTTAAAGCATATTCAGAATGATGATCTGATCGTCTGGGAGCTATTCTGGTGGTTTTCCTGAGGTCAGGCCCAACGAGACCTGAAGCAGCCCTGATGTTTTCCAGGCTAGACTTTCTTTTATTTTTGTTCACAGGCCGACGAAAAATATGGGATTGAGTTGAGACCCGATAAATCTACAGGCCAGGAATAAAAAAGTGAAGCCCAATTTGACCAAAAATTAAATAGTAAGACAGCTTATTGGGTTGGGCTAAGAGTTTAGGCCTATAGAACTTTTCCAGTGGTTTGTCTTTCAGTATACTATTAGCGGGGAGGAGGCAATAGAAGGTAATAGGTCTAAATTGGCCCAATACATATTTTTTCGTAATGAATCAAGAAACATACTACACTGTGGTCCCAAATCCGAATAAAACTAGAAGGGGTGTAATTGGTTGACGGTCAACGTCAAATAATCAAATCATGATTAAGATAAAACCAAGAATAAAAAGATTCGAGAAAATTAGGGATAATTCAGATTAAAAAGGATGAGGAAGTGTCATTTGAAATAGTTGGATATATGAAACATAAGTAGATTTGTGCATCAATTAAGATAAATAAATTTTTTAATTTAAAAGAGATCAAAATTTAATAAATTATAAAAGATGTGAATGCATATAATAAAAAATGATACAAAAATTTAAAAAATAAATAAAAATGTTATTTTTAAAAAAAAATTGCATAAAACATTTTAAAATTATGACTTAACATGAAATTTTTTCTTACCTTCCATATAATCCACTTCATGATAAAAGAATTAATTACTTTATTTGTTGTAAGAAAGTTCCATTACATGCTACAAAACACAAAAACATAAGAAAGCTCCATTACATACTACAAAACACAAAAACATAGCTAGTACAAGATCAAGTTCCTTTATTTGTTGTAAGAAAGTTCCATTACAAACTACAAAACACAAAAACATAGCTAGTACATGATTAAGAGTAGCATATGAGTAATTGAAACCGTCTTAGCTCTAAGCGTATCGTTTAATCCGAGGCTCGTCGGCAAAACAAAATGCTCGTCAATAATTGAATGGTGCAGAAATTTTACAGTAGAAATAGAACAAAAGGTAGGATGGGACTAAAAGAGAGTTACTTTCTAGGCAACTACAACGCTTCACGGCCTATAATTGGCCATCTTTTCTTGACCCTGTAGTTGCTTTAAAGCTTCAATGAATCTCCAGACTACTTACAGGGCAGCATTTGGATCTTCTGCAACAGCTCTAGAAGTTTAAAACTAGTAGGAACCAGGAACCTGCTTCTGTCTGTACATAATGGTATGGTGAACCTTAACTCAGGTGGCCAGTTTCTGACATAAAATATTTTCCTGAACTGATTCAAGTATAAAGGTGTCAGCACTCACCACCATCATAATAACTCAGCACATGGTTTGGTCAACTAGCATCAGCCAATAACAATTACCGACAACAAATCGGTCGCGGAAAAGTGCAACTTTATTAAAATTGATCCAGTTCCATCTTAAAAAAGAGATAAACGGTCACTAGCTAGGAAATACTTATCGGCAAGGACTTCTTCTTGAACCATAACTTCCAACTAGCCTAGTCCCTAATCATAGTCGTACAAAGTGCTTTGTCAGGATAAATGTGAATGTGATAGACTGATAGGTTCCAGCTTAAAACTTTCACTTCCAACTCCCAACTTCCAAAGGCTGCCGCTGCGATGCTGGCAAAAAATAGAAGGAGAAGTTCCTGCAGCCAGCGTCCAGGCTCTAGTAGGTAGATGATGACCGGACACGTGGCTAATTTGATTAAAACATGGAGCTTCTAGAGGTATGGGTGGAGAACTACGTGTCAAAAGCTGAGACCGACAACTAAAGAAGCAAATTTTGACTGGATTTATGCTGATGGTCGAGGAAGCAAGTAATGTCAGTCAAACAATACGGGAAGCAAAAACTTTCTAGGGTTGAATCTCTGTTAGACAAAAATTATTCTTTGAAATCCCAGTACGTGTCGAATTTAGAGGTTTATTCTGACAATTGAACATTAGATAAGTGGCAGCTCTCCGCTTCAAATTCCTTCGGCCTATCTTTTGGTTCATTAAACTAAAACTGTCGTTAATTTCAAATGGGTCCATATAATTATAAAAGCACGTATCATAATGAATAATGAAAGAAAGAGAAAGAGAAAGTTACAGTGAAAGTGAAAGTGAGGACCCACACATTCCAAAATCTGGTGCAAATATTAACCATTGGTTAAGCAAAGCAAAAGACTGGTATGCAGTTGGCTGCCAATGATTTGCTCGCGTACAGCTGGACTTCTTAAATAGTTTTTCCTTTTCTTCATCTGTGAATCTTATTCATTATCAATTTCAAAAGGAATAAAGGTAGACATAGACCTTTATATTTAATGGAACTTTCAAAAGTTGGTTAGTGCTGTGGCCTGTTAACTAAGAAGCGTGTTGCAATATTGTGAAAAGATGAAACTTATGATGTCCTAGCTGGTTTATAATTCTGCTCTGAAAAAAGTCATCGACCAACTTTAAGCTAAATTATTACACACACACACACATATATAGATATATAAATTTAGCAAATGGTTCAAGTTCAGCAGCTAATTTGTTTAAGTTCTTATGGTTTGCTCTGCTTTGCAACTAATAGCCAAAATAAGATGGTACTTGTACTTCCAGGTATATACTTGGAACTTTTTGTGTGTAAAAAAGCCATGGTGAGCTCGTTCCTTCTATGACTTAGGCCCCCCAATAAATAGAGAGTTTGTGATGTTGAGCATCCTAATTAATTTTATATATTTCCAACCTACTTCTTACTCTAAGTAGATAAAGCTGCAAAGCTTTCTCCAGATACTTAATCAATCAATCATTTAACCACTCGTGCTTTAATAAGATGAAAAGGACTTGGGTGATCGTTAATGTTAAAGAAAACTAGAGCAAATCAAGGGATCCAAAAATGTGATCTGCAATATATAAACCATTTTACCAAATGTGATGACAGGGTCCAAATACCATTTGCCTCCCTTTATAAATTATGGTGATTTGTATTTAATAACTACATTAGTTTAATAATACTTTAAAAATTTTAAATGGTGGTGATTTAAAATTACTTAGATGATAAAATTATTGTCTTGAAAAATAATCTAATTCCTAACTTATAAAATGAAAAAATTTTATCATCATTAAAAAATAATTTTAATATTATTTTTTGACTATTTTATCTTTACGAAAATTATAATTAACATTATCTCAAAAAGTTAACTATTAAAAATTTTAAAAAACTGGTTTTTGTAATCATTTATTCTAAACAAAAGTTTTATGTTATAATTTTATAACGATAAGAATAAAGATAATAAATTTATTTAATAATTTTAAAAAATATTTTTATTAAAATTGATTTATATTTTATAGTTTTTTATAAAATAATGTTTAACTATTTTCTAAATGATTGATTTAATAAGTATTAAATATTTTATTTTTTTAGAAAATTATTTTAGATATTTTGTATTAGATGATTTATTTTTTTATATAATACTAAATACAATTATTTAAAATCATTAGTAATTTATAATATTATATCAAATAAAATAATCTAAGATCATGATGATCAAATCACATTGATGATTTTACTATTATGATAATTAAATCACCACAATAATTTTGAAAATAATACCAAAAGTTATCTAAACGTTTTAAGTTTGTTGGGAAGATTTTTTCGGGGGATTTCTACTCTCTAATTAGAGAAAGCATGCTTATGGAGTGAAGCACCTTAAAAGCTGAAGTCCTATTTATCGGAAGATATTATATTAAAGTGGAAAAAGTTATATTCTTCATTCTTAATGAACCTAATATGCCAAATACGTGTTAGATTCCATACAGATATATATGTTATGAATTAAACTTTTGTGAGGGGATCTCTAACAGGCAATCCCATCTTCCGGTGGCTTCCCTTCATATTTTTGTAAAGAAAAAGACAATTTTAAGAAGCTTGACACATGTCTTTTCTGGAAATTGACTTCTTTTTTTGTTATGGCATGCTGAAGCATTTTCGAATCCTTGAGCTTCAAACCCAAGCTCCCTTCGGGTCCCTTTCTCTCTTCTATCTATATAAGCTCTCATTTTCTTCCAAATCCATTGCATCAAAGCAGCTTCAAAGCATACATAATTAATTCTCTCTCTCTCTCTCTCTCTCTCTCTCTCTCTCAATTGTTGCAATAAGTCTTCATCATGTCAAGGGTACCTGAGCCACTTACTATTGGGAGAGTTATAGGAGAGGTGGTGGACAATTTCTCCCCAAGTGTCAAAATGACAGTAACTTACAACTCCAACAAGCAAGTTGCCAATGGCCATGAGCTCATGCCTGCGGTCATTACTGCGAGACCTCGGGTTGAGATTGGCGGCGAGGACATGAGAGCTGCTTACACGTTAGTAAGTTCCACCAAAACCTTGCATTGTACGGTATATATATATATATATATCACACTTTAATATTAGTAACAAAGTCCAACTCTTGCAATATATATAATTTATTTTTCTCTTTTTCTACCTATGAAGATCATGACCGATCCTGATGCTCCAAGCCCTAGTGATCCGTACTTGAGAGAACATTTGCACTGGTTTGTATCAATATATTTATCACTAATCTCTGTACTCAGTTATCTTTGCTATACATTTTGTTCAATATGTAGTCTATGATTTCTAAAATGTAAACCAATGTATCTTCCAGGATGGTTACCGACATTCCCGGTACCACTGATGCTTCTTTTGGTGAGTTTCCGAAACTACAATTTCAACTTTTATGATTTGTTTCTGACTCAATATTTTAGCCTATGAAAAAGAGAAGTTTCGAACTCAATGGATTTGAACGCCAACAGGGAGGGAAGTTGCTAGCTACGAGACTCCAAAGCCAACAGTAGGCATCCATAGATATGTGTTCATACTGTTCAAACAGAGAGGAAGACAAACAGTGAGGCCACCATCTTCCAGGGATTACTTCAACACCAGGAGGTTTTCAGCCGAGAATGGTTTGGGACTCCCAGTTGCTGCAGTGTACTTCAATGCCCAGAGAGAAACTGCTGCAAGAAGAAGATGAATCAGGCCCTCCGTACTCCATGCGTGTTACAACTACTAATTAATAATCCACATCAAAAGATTTTTTTTTTTAAAAAAGAAGATCATCTCTTTCCTTCCAAAAGGCAAAAACAATGCGAATGTCAAACTCTAACATCATCTCTGATCTCCTGGTTTAGGGTTTGACATGTATGTTTTCTGTGATTGTATTTGTATTTTACTTGTAATATTGTACTGTTGTGTGAGGTACTGCTAGGTGAGGTGACTATTTTTATGTAACAACTAGGTTTCGGTTCTGTCGGTGGATCCCATCCCTTTTAAAAGGGAGTGGTTTGTGATTTGATATTAGGATGCACCATAGCAATTAGCATAGGAGCTAAATAAACTATCTCCTTTTGGTGGTAATGGAAAGGTCTGTACAAAGATTATCATGAAAATAATAGCAATTAAGGTCTTCTTTATGGGAGTACTCTTTTTCTAATGGCATTTGATGCGTGTACGCAGGAGTACCATAGATTACTGTCACAATGTTCCCTGCCTATTAAATACAAAAAATATGAAATCTATCATTAATTTTTTTTATTTATGTATGATTAATCACCTAAATAAATTTATCTTTTTTAAAATTATCCTAAATTTAAATAAGAGTTTTTTTAAAAAATAAGTTATAATTTATATCAAAAGAACTAGGTTTGAAAGCCGGTTATGTACAGAAAAAGTTTTAGCACTCAAAAAGTCTAAAATTGATATTAAATTAATCTTATGTTATCTTATTTAAGTCTTTATCAGTAGTTTAAAAAATGTCGGTAAAAACATCATAAAATGCTAGCAAAGGTATTAAACGTAAAGCCCAAAGTCATTAAACTAGAAACCAGATGAAACTAAATTCCATGCCATACAAATGAAAATCAATCAATCGATCACATGCATCATGAAGAGTTTTAGTTTTTGTCGTTACTACTTGGTGTTGCAGTTGTAGTTCATTGAACAGGTGCAAGGTTTCATCCACCTACACAAAAGTACAATTGCTAGCTTAAAAATCTTGAGAGAAATATAGATATAACACTATAAATAGCTAGAAATGCAAATGAGAATGCATGGAGAAATAAAATACAACACGAATGTACTTGTTGAAATATATCTTCACAAGTTTGTATATGGTCTGTGAGAGTATTGACATAGTGCTAATACTTTTCCTCTATCTAAATAATGATAAACAATGCAATAAACAAATATCTAACAAAATTACTCTATGATCATATATGTTGGAACAAGAAATTGCTACTAACCTCTGATCTTAAGGCCCATTCAAGATATGGAGCCATTTATAAAACTATAATGAATTGGGTGGAAACAAGAAAAAAAAAAAGGCAAAGATGAACATTGAAATATTTAAATTTGCCAAGCACAATTTCACATACTTTTCCAATAAAGTTTATTCTTCTTTGATTAGTAACAACCAATAAATTATTCTTTTACAATGCCATCCTTAGAACCTAAATACATTTTTTAAAAAAGAATTTTATTATCAAAGTATGGCTCTTCATGCACAAACTCAAACTAGCATTAATAATTAACAAAATTATGTTTTTCAGTTTATTAGTAGTTTTCAAAAAGGCAATAGTTATTTCTAACTTAAAGTTAATCCAAATGAAAGAAAACAACTTTCTTTTGCATTTTAGTCCTAAACATATTCCCTTTTCATTCCCTAAACAATAATTGAACATTTCATTCCTATTTCTATTATTTTCATATTATCATCACTTACTTACATATTTATTTCCCTCCCTAAGGTAATAGTTAGATATAGGTAAACAGTGGCAGATTATCATAAGAGAAGGCAGAAAAAAAAATGCTTGTCTTATAACCCTATAAAGTTATGAGATTTATGGCAAGAGAACTAAAGTTAGTAAACACTAGGTTATAAAAAACAAACCAAGTTAAGGAAATAAAGCTAGAAACCAAAATCACCGAGGAAAACAAGAAGAAAATTTCCTTCAAGGAAATTTGATCGTGCTAAAAAATGGTATGGGAATTCAAAGAAAATAAAATAACATCTAAACTTTAATGATTTAATGCCACAAAAGGGAAGGGAAAAAAAATTTTACTTAAAAATACAAATAAACTTTTAGTAGATAAATGTAAACCCCAAACTCCAAATGATTTAAAAAAATAAATTCATTTTCAAGTGCTTAAACAAACCCTAACCTAGAGGCATTAACTAGATCACTAAAAGGCAAAAGTAGATTGCTAGACTTGAAGCTTTGGATGAAAAGGTAGACAAACATGTGAAAAAGATAAGGACCTAAAGAGAAAGAGATTGGAAAGGAGAAGAATGCGTGACGAAGGGGCTCAACGAATGAGGAAAAAAAAAAGGAAAATGAAATAAGGGAATCAAGGTAGAAGAGGCTCTAAAAATGAAATAGGGAAAATGAAATTTAGTGGCGTTTGCAAAAATAAATGTCTAAATAGCGGCATTTTCACTAATAAATGTCACTAAGTCTTAGTAAAATGGTGCACCCATTTTTAAAAAATTTTTAGTTTAATTTATTTGTGGCACTTATGAGAATGTTGCTAATTTTTACTGATTAGTGGCATTTTTAATTTCAAACACTGCTAATTCTTACTTTTTAGTGACATTTTATGTTATAAACGCAGATATATTAATATTTAGTAGCGTTTATGATAAAAGTGTCGCTAGCTTTCTAAAAATACAAAACCTAATAACATTTATTAATAAAACGTTACTAAAAAACTGCCATTGTTTACCCATTTTCTCGTAGTGATTTTACCCTCATTATAAAGTTTTTACTTTTTATGTACTTGTTTTAGAAAACCATGATATCTTCTTTGTTTTTATGATTTTAAAGTATAAAAAATCCTAAAATAATATGATGTTATGATTTGAAAGTTTTCGTGAAAAAATTAACCTCGAAAAGATCAAATTATGAAATTACCCTATAATGGTATTTTAGTAATTTCATATATTTCGAGGTGTGATTGAAGTTTTTAATGCACAAAAATCATGAAATAATATAGAAACATAATTTAAAGCATTTCACAAATAACCCACCTTAGGAAGGTCGAATTACAAAAATACTCAGTAAAAGCATTTTAGTAATTTTATACTTTCCATGGTGCAATTAAGGTTTTTAATGCACTAAAAATTATATAATAATATAAAACCATTATTTGAAACGTTTTGTGAAATATTGACCTTAAGAAGGTTAATTTACAAAAATACCTTTAAATATATTTTAGTAATTTCATACCTCCAGAGGTGCGATCAGGATTTTTGATATATCAAAAATCATAAAATAATATTTAAATGCAATTTGAAAGTTTTTACGAAAATTTAACTTTGAGAAAGTCAAATTATAAAAATAACTCTGAAAGACATTATGGTAATTTTACCCTGTCCCAAAATGTAATAAAAGTTTTTAGTGCATTAAAATCACAAATATCAATCCCAAGCTCTATTCAACCTATTTGTTGTGAATTTTTAAGATTAACCCGAGTTCAATCCAATTTGATTGTTTTTGATCAATTTTGACCAAACTTGACTTTGTTGAACTAGATATGACCAAATTTGACCTTAAGGCATTTTTTTGTCAAATTGATCCTCAATCAATTTTGAAAACTTTTCAAAATTAAAAAAACATTGGATTTGAACTGAATAGAATTTTAAGAGCCTCACAATTGATCAGAATCTACTTGGATAAAATTAGATGTTTACATTTATCTCCACATAAATATTATTTATCTCAAAATTTTTATTTTTTAATTAAATAAAAGATACAAAAGAAATATCATAAATTAATTTTAAAATAAAATTTTATTATTTTAATTATAATAATTATATTTTATAATAAGTTGTGCAAAATAAAAAAATTATGACCGTAGTGATCATAATAATCTCTATTATGTTCACAACTATAATAAACGTGATACGATTAAAAATGTGTCCGTAACTATAATTTAAATTCCCAATTGGACCAATCTCTACCTACCATTTTGCCAACTCATTATACTCTCAAATTTTAAAATTTTCAGCCTTATTCTCTCTCAAATCATGAATGGCAATAGCCAAGAATGGAGTAACAGCTTATCCTCTTTTTGTGTTAAGGATCACCACAGCTTTAATATCACTTATTAGGGATTATCACAGCTCTAATACCATTTGTTAGGCTAAAAAAACCCAATTCAATCACACTAGTAGAAGCAAAATTAAACAATCAATCAATCAATAAGCATATAAGATGCAATAATTTAACGTGGTTCGATTCAACTAACTTACATTTACGGATGAGAAACAAAATATATTAGTTGTAAAGAATCACAAACATAAAAATCAAATCAAACATTTATAACTAATATCCATAGACCTTTTCAATCTCCTCTAGTCTTATTGAGTATTCTCAACCTAAACAAACATATACTCATGTACATCATTTCAATACAAACAAACACATACCTATATGTACCAAGTCATCATACCTATGTAGACTATTTATGTCTTTTCTAGTCTACTCACAAATACTCAAACATACACACCCATAAGATGTAAATCTTCAATATTTCTATGGGGTGTCTATCCTATAAAATCTTATAATTCTCTTACATCTTTTTTTCATACCTAACCTTATAAAGACTCCATCTATTTATAAGGATAAAAACTTATCTATTAAGAATCTCTTTTATCTTAGAATTCTTTTTCTGTAAGTCAAACTTACCTATTAAGAATCTCTTTTCTTTTAGAATTCTTCTTCTATAAGTTATTTTGTCCATTAAATAATATTTAGCCAATATCAAACAAATTTGTTATATGATTTGAGTAACTATTCCTAACAATCTTTATCTTGACTTAAATTTCATCAAATTATTTATCTTTATGTTAAACATGATTGGCTCTATTTACAATGAAAGTCTCACAATCATTTTCTCTAGTGTGCCTTCACGCTTTATGCAAACTAATTTTCAAAACACAAACTTGAAGTTCTTTCTTAAATCAAGCTCCTTTAGACTTACCTCTTCCCATGGCTCGAACCTTCAGCTCTGATTTTACTTATTGAGAAACAAGATCTACTAGTTATAGAGAATTACAAATATAGAAATCAAATCAAACACTTATTACTAATACCTATAGACTCTCTTAATCTCTTCTAGTCTTATGGAGTATTCTCAATCCAAATAAACACATACCCATGTGCACCCTTTCAATACAAACAAACACATACTCCTATGTACTAATTTATCATACCTATGTGGACTCTCTTAATTTCTTTTAGTTCACTCACAAATATACAAACATACATACTTATAAGACGTAAATCTTCAATACTTCTATAGGGTATCTATCCCATAAAATCCTACAACTCTCTTAAATCTTTTTTTCATACCTACTTCTGTAAAGACTCAATCTATTTATAGGCATACAAACTTGTGTATTAAAATTTTTTTTTATTTTATAATTCTTTTTCTGCAAGTTAAACTTACATATTAAAAATCTCCTTTCTCTTAGAATTCTTCTTCTGCGAGTTTTTTGTCCATCAAACAATATCTAACCAATCCTAAATAAATCTGTTATGGGATTTGAGTCACTATTTCTAACATTTTGTGGTCTCTCTTTTGTCTTCTAATGCAATGGTTTCCCTTTGAGTCACATGTGAGAATTTCCAAATTAGCATTTTTGGATTTTTTGTCTATAATCAAGCTCTGAAATTCATCTTAACATCATTTAAATTAGTTCCACATCTTTGCAAGACCACTTATACATGAAAAAAAAATCACCCATGCATTATCGGAGGGGTCTCGACCTACACTCTTCAAAGGGATGCATTGGCCTTTTGTTCTTGCTCTTGACACTTAATTATGATCTTCATGGCTCTATCAAATGAACTTAATCCAACTTCCAATGGTTCTTGAATCTCCATGGCTTCTCACACAAGGTAGGACTTGATTTTGGTAGGTCACATGCACACATTTTACCCTTTACCTACAATTAGGATAATTAATACAATTAAATGGGAAATGGACTTAATTAAGTAAAATTCAAATATAAAAAAGTTAAAATTAAGCATAAAAATCCTATAATAATTCTATAAAAATAGAATTATCAGCATCCTATACTATATATATTGCCATTTGTTTTTATTGGAAGGCTATTTTTTTTTTTTTGAACATGAGAATGCATGTATTTATGATAATAATTTTATTAAAATTGAATGTTAAGATCAATAATTCAATTTTAAGATCATGATTTGACATTTATCAAATATTATAAATAAATTCGTAAGGTTTTTTTTTTTTTCATTTTTAATTGTTTAATTACATAAATGTTCACATATGAGCGGTTGATAAATGAAAGAATTGTTGAGGTTGAACCTTTATAATTAAATTAGATAGATAATAAGTATGTTTTTTTTAACCAAGATAATAAGTATGTTTAATTTCAAGAAAAGAAGATGATTTGGCTTTAATTATTATAACGTGTAGGCTTTGGAATAAGTCATATTAATGGACCACAGGGGAGGAGAAGTCAAAGGCAGGAGCAGTTAATTAAAGAGGTTCCAGATTAATTACTTGCATCAGATGTGAATCTCTTGATGAAAATTTGAAATATTACAAATTTTTTGTGAATGAAGGAGCAGTTGATTTATGAGAATATAGGTGCAGTGTCAGTGGCATCTCTCCTACAAGTCATCAGAGACAGAAGAGAATAATAGAAAATAGCTTTCTCTAATTCTTTGTTCCGTAAACGTTGACTCCATCATTCCATCATCTGTCAATGACTACCAATTTGAATTTGATGGAATTGGATTTGTGGTGATTATTTCTTTCCAATATTTTGTATTTTAAAAATGTTAATATGGTTTTCACCAAAAAAAAAAAAATGTTGATGCGGTTGTTTATGTAACAATTTACTTGACAATCACTTTTTCTTTTTTTTGGTTAATTATTTAATGAAATCTGATAAAGTGATTAAATTTGATCTAATTAATAAAGTTAATGTCTAAAATAAAAATGTTGATCCAAGTTATATGACCAACGGTGAAATTTACTTCAACTTTTTGTAAGAAGTTAAGGGTTTTCTAATTGCCTTACCTTGGTGGTTGGATGGTTATGGGAGGAAGGTGGGTCAAATTATAATCTTTTTTGGTGAACATCTATTTGTAAGACAAAGTTGTTGATTGCATCATTTTGTATTTCTCAACATAATGACAAGGTTGTAGAGTTTTAAACACCTGTGTCAGTGTCCATTTAGTACAATAAAATGCATGTATATCCCTTTATTCAAATACCCGAATTTGAATTACTAGTGAAATTTCATAGTACTTTATGCATTAATGCTAAAGAGAAATGCTAATTAAATTTCAATGGAAACAAAATTAAAACTTTCTTCAACTTGTAATAATTACATAATTCTAACCAAAATTTTTTTTTTAAGATTTCGGCAAGTGCTAAATACGTCTCTGGTCACCGCCGGAGCTCTTTGGTAGAATAGATCAACTACATAAGAAACCAGTCAAGCATTTATTTCTGAGTTGCATTGATGCTCTCTACTGCAGCTCCTTCTGCCCCAAAACATGCTTGAACAGGTTGTTCTCTCCAGTCTTGGTCCTTCAATTTTATCTTGGTCAATTGATGTAGCTTGTGATGGTCTTGGAGATTCATCTTGTGTTTCTGCCTCTCGAGGTTCAAAGGAGGGGCAACGACTGTCATTGCAGGTGCACAAAGGGATGGCAACAGAAGGAAATGGACTACATGTAACCGGACATAAAAGATCGGAAGAAACTGATGCATCGCGATTCTTCCGGATCTTTGAAGCTGGTGACGGGCAATCGGCATCACGAGGATGAAGCATGCATGGGGTACAGAGGCCTAGGGATAGATGTAGCTTAAGTTCCTTTGCGGGGGAGCTGGGCAACTTGGCAAAGGATAGAATGCCATGTCTACAGAGTGGGCATGGAATAGACCCAGGTTGGGCCACCATATTGGAAGGAATGTGGCTTGTTGAGCAAAGATAGAGTGCACACCTTACGCATAGCTCATGCCCACATCCTGAAGAGATAAATGAATTGATGAGAGCCCTTACAATTATAACTTGATGTTTAGCATAATGATAAATACATCAGTAGAAAATGTAAAAGTGAAGTTGATAATCCAAGAGAGTTCCTCACTCATTTTGCTATACATTTAAGCTCATTATGGATGTTACTTTCGCTTTTGCATTTTACTTATAGAAACAAAAAGCTGAAGTCGTGTATGGATACAAAAACAAATGCAAATATATTTTGATTATGAGCTAAAATCATAATTTCTTTTGCAAAACAAAATACACGATTTACTTTTGTATAGAATAGTTATGTCCCGGTTGGTCTTGCATACGTTAGGAAAAAAGAAAAAGAAAGAAACAACAGCTGCTCACTCTCAAACAGTTAGTAAATCAAGGCCTCTGTACAAACTTCTTCAGATATGAATATTCTAGAAATCTAGATCATATTTCTTAATTGGTTTGGAAAGCTCTAGCACTGGGTTAACTATATGGATGTACTCGCCAGCTTGCCTCCTAACTCACTATAACATTAAGTTTTTCTATGCTATGACATTAAAAATAACTTCTAAATCTAATATGTATCCCCTGCCTTGTCTTCCAAGTTCCAATGCCCCAACTGGAAGACTAGCGTGGTCATGTTCATAAAGTCACAAAAAGGGATGCTAAAGTCAATAAGGAAAACAATAACAAATTGATGAACATAGTGATCAAAGCAGTTGGATGCTTTGTGCCAGCATTTTTTTCAAGAAAGAAAGGTACAGGGAATACAGACCAAAATTATGAAAAGAGCAAGTTGAAGAATACCTTCGGCAGCAACACTACATGCTCTTTCAAGGCACACAGCACAAGTGTCAGCATCATCTGAGAAGAAGGTTGTTGAGGACTGCAACCCACATTCCCTGCAAACAATAGCCAAAATGAAGGCGATGCACCATAACAATTTTTAGGATGTTGAACAACCTAAAGCATCGAGTTGTTTTAAGTGCTTAACTCAAAACCAACTAAAGTTTTTAGCACTAAGGGTAAGATTTGCTGGATTAAGACACAGATAGCTTTTTGGAAATAACTCCCTTCAATATGGCTAATGGCAATACCATAATATCAGGTTGCAACAACCCATACCATTTTTATCTATTTTTATCTAAATAACTGCAAACAAATTTCAAGTCTTCTTACGAAACTTTTCCATAATCCACACTCCATAGGTAAACCATTACTGCCAATAACACATACTAGCAAAAAAAAAGCAAAAAAAAACTTGATTGCAGAAACTTGAGAAACAGGAAAATTGAAGCAAACCAACGGTGGTTGAATGTAATATAGGCTCTGTGAAATGAATTTAAGACAAAGCGTGACCCTTTACCACTTTATACAACTTTATAATATAATTTATGATCACTCCCATTCTCCAAGCAAGATGAAGTTTTAAAAATTTTCACCTTATTTGAAGCAGAAAAAACTGGAGGAATGAACAATCCTTACAATCGGAGCTTTAAACAGTAACATTCTTCATGGTCTAGGAATTATCCAGCACCAAGCTTTGCATCTTAAAATGAAGCCTACACATCCTGATTTAGACATGATACACGAGACGCCTAATTTTCACGTGAAACATGGAAGAAACAAGTTCCTTTAAACTACATGATTATTCCTAACTCATCACCTAAAAGTTTCAACCTTAAAAAAGAGTAAGTCCGGCAAGAAGAATCATTATACCAGCAAAAAAGAAATTGCATTGCTGCAGCCACACTAGCCACATATTGATCACTAAGAATCTTGTAAAGTTTCTCTAATTGCATTTTTCTCACAATAATACCTAGACTGTAAACCATGGTAGTTATAGGATTACCTTGCTATGTTAAGTACACTCAAAAGAGGTAAGGACAAGTAGTTGGAAGAGGGAAATCTAGGTATGGTTATGTCAGAATTAGGTGCCAGCAAGGGTTCAAGCCAATGACGACCCCACATCCTTGCAACATCAAGTGGCAGCCAACTGAGAAAATACAGATAACTCTGTTAGCCATGATAGGTGCAGAACTGAAATAACAACCATACTAGAAGAGCAAACAAACAAGAACAGAAAGAGATCAAAAGGCACGTTACCCATTGCAATTCAAAGTCACTCGACTGGCTCCTCTTGCTAGAAGGATCTGCAGACAAAAGAATAACATAATATTCGATTCAAGAAAAACTACAGATGGGTGCAAAAACATTGTGTATAAGTCTTGCCTGGCAGCATTTCAAGTTTCCCCCACAAGCAGCGTAATGCAAAGGAGTGCTTCCAGCTCCTGCCCAGAAAAGAAAAAGGGGGGTAACCATAACACCCAGAAGTTTTAATCAAAAGGCAATCATCCATGGAAAAAGCAAAAAGAAAACCACACCTATCAAATCCATTGATGTTCCATAATGAAATGTGACGGCAGAAACATTAGCATGAAGGTCTAATAAAAGCTGTACACAATCAAAATACCCATTTAATGCAGCCATATGAAGAGCAGTAATTCCACCATCAGCTGCCTTATTTACAAACTTTGACAGTGCACTGCATGGTAATAAGTTACATAATTAGCACATGACAACAGTGCCAAGAACTTTTGGCATCAAAGGTTGAGTAATTCAATAGCAATTGAGATCAATAGGAGAAATATGTCTGTTATGAGCATCAAGCATTTTCACCCAAAACTGAGTTTTTGCTGTAAAATAGTTTTTCTTTTCTGATTAATCTTTTTCACAATATCACATGCAATAAATCATGGACAAAATTATCCAATTAAATTCAAATCAGCTCCAGCAGGAGCAAATGGAGGTTCAGGAAGTAATAAAACACACACCTTTGGTCATTTTTGTTCCTCACAGCCACAGCATCCCCTCTTTCACCTTCAATTTGGGTGTTTATAGCTTCAAAAGGAACACTAGGAACAAAATCAGCTACAACTAACCTTATGCATCTTATGTGTCCATTTACAGCAGCAAAATGTAGAGCAGTTCTCCCACTTAGATAATCTGCTCTCGTAACCTTATAAGGAAGTAAAGTAAAAACGGTCATCAACTAATCAACAAACATTTGAATAAGTTTCCTTTAAGTTTTAGGAAAGGAAATTTCATTAAAACCCAAATGATGCTCTCATGTGCAAGTAGGATCCACTCCTGTTATAACTAAGAAACCTTTAAATAGTCATATTTTGTGAGTAATAATAAAAGTTAAAAAAAAAAAAATCTGATACTCACATTGCATCTAAAAAGCAGAAGGGTCTGTACAACTTCCCAGTGTCCGTATCTACATGCTTGCATCAATGCCGTCTTTCAAATTCAAACGTAAAGAAAGACTTAAAAGTTAGTTATACTCCAGATTGATTCCATTTGTTGCTTAGCAGAGAACAGAATTTCAAGTCCATATTCTTACAAGCCGGCTTTGGAATTCCACAGAATCAGATTTGGAATCTAAAATCATGTTAAACAAATTCTAAAACCAATATGGTAAACTGTCTAGAAAGGTTAGCCGACCAGAAGAATTTTCTTCCAAAGTATGTCCGATAGCTCCAATTTTGATTCCAAATCGCAAATTCATACAATCAAATGCCAAAATTTAAAATCTACATAGGAACTTTAGAAACAGAACTAAACCGACAACTAAAAATCTGCACCTGAAAACTATCATATCAAACATTCATTCTGAAATTTCAGAAACAAACACAATCAGCAACAATTAAAAAAAAAAAAAAGACCCAGATAAAAAACGGATAAACCTGTTACCTGGCCACAGTAATTCCTGGAATTAACATCAGCTCCATTGTCGAGCAATAAAGTAACAATCTGAAAAAAGCTCACCAAAATATAATTCAAAAAGCAAATGTTAAACCTTCCCCAAGCCAAAGGGGAAAATAAAGGTGAAAATATAGCGGAAGATAAAAAAAGAAACCTCGTTGTGGCCTTTGGCAGCAGCGAAATGAAGAGGAGAATTAAGGCCACCAAAAGTGGAATATTTAGCAAGACATGGATTGAAATCCAGAAGCATCTTGGCTTCCACCAAATCCCCATCTCTGGCAGCCGACACTAATCTCTCCCCTGAAGCTGAGCACCCAAACGAATTTCCCATTTTGATACTCTTTTTTTTCTCTTCCTCTTCCTCTTCCTCTCTCAGGTATCTGTTTTATGTTAGGATTTACGGATGATCCTTTTTTTTTCTTCTTCTTCTTTTGTATGGGAATTGAAATTAGGTCAACTGACGTAGAACATAATTCAAATAAAAAATTTTAAAAAGCAACAATAAAATGGTTGCAGGGGGGTGGTGGCGGAGAGTTTCGTGTTTTGCTATCTTTCCCAAGTACTTGTACACAACTATGGGAGAGGATGACGTAGCAGACTTTTTTTTTTTAATTTTCGGTTTGTTTTCTTCGATTTGGCAGATTTCTTGGTTTTCTTTGTTTCAGTTTTGCTGTTCTTTGGTTGGAGGACAAATAGAGAAGAAACAGAGGGTTGTTGTTGGCAAATCAAACTACGTTCTAACATTCACTTTACCTTTCCTTTCTCTCTCTGTCTTGGTTTTGTTTTGTTTTCAACATTGTTTTTGTTTTTTACTTAACAAAAATGGATGCCAGATGGCAATTTCATTTCGCTTTAGCTTTATTGTTTTCCAAATCCACTATCCCAATTCCCATGTAACAAAATTGTTTTTTTTTTTAAAAAAAAAACAACTATAATTGATATTTACTGGTTCAAAATTTTCTTCTATTTTTAGATTAAACAGCTAAAAAACTAGTTTTACAGAATTATAATAGCTGACTACTTTTTTTTTCAAAAATAATAATAACCGACTATTTTTTACTAATGCTTCAACCAAGTAAATGTACAAGTCCTACGCCCCGGCCCCTGAGTCCATGTTGGGCCACCTGGCGTTAAAAGGTCGTAAAGCGCGTGCCCCCTCGTGTCTGCCAAAAGAGAAAATATCTGCTACTTGACAGAGTACGACAACCAGGATGCAGATATTGTTCATCAACCAGATCAACAACGATCAGCACTTAAAATTCTCTGTTGGCCGGTTATCTATTACTTGATTGGTTGGATGATGATCAGTTTGCCGGAGATGACAAAGGGATGACTTGTTTGAAATGAAAAACTGTGAGTAGATCAGACAGGAGATTAGTCTCATCAAGTTTACCTCGAGTTTGGGTAATTTGTGGGGAATGTGGGCGGTTGACAGATGGGAAAATGGCCAATTCGGCAGTTGAGAGAACACCAGTCCACCCAAAACAAATACAAAATGTATTAGTAATGACAAGTGATTGGAGTAACAATACTAAGATTAGCATAAACTATTATTGCTACAATTATTTTAGAATATTATCTTTCCATTTTCATCGGATTATTGAAATTTTCACAATAGAATCGACAAATATACAAAGACAGAAAAAGGGTTTGATAATCAAAACCAATCTTTGACTCGCCATGAACAGTGCTGTTGATTATAGAGTTGTGGCTCGGGTATCACAATTACAAAGCAACCTGCTGCCACGAATTATTTGTTTGGACAACCAGTAATATAAAGCCCCGTGACGGCTTCTACTTGTATTATGTTCACACTTCACAGTCATATGGCAACCCTACTTCCAGGATTCGGGCGGACAGAATCTGGGATTCAACGGTTTACCAAGAAAACGAGTGAATATCAAATTAATAATTGCAATTTGCTTCATCATCATTATTCTAAAATAAATACATATCCAATTAGGAATTTTATACTCGTCAAACACCATATTGGTATCTGTTATTTTCAGTGGATACTCCTAGAGATACACTTGGTTTGCGATACTTAACACATACGTAACACGCACTATAATTTAGAATTTAGATCTTTTTTGGTTTTGATTTTCAAGCCAAAACAGCCAACCAACCAACTTGTGTCCTCAACTTTTGTACACAAGTCTCAGCTTCTGCTCCACTCAAATGGCCTAACTTATTGCACAAATGTAATTAATTTAAATACAAAAGCAACTTTATATAAACTATTAACTTACCGCCCTGCTATATCAACTCGACATGAAAAGAATTTTCTGTAATGGAAAACAAGATTTTTCTACTTTTGCATATTAACAAAGTTGGAATGTAAAACAAAAGTCTTTTCCTTCATCGCAAGAAATTAAATCCCAGATCTCCGATAAATCCCCTGTGGTCTCCTAGTGGATTGTGGACATTGTAAAAGCATCAAATCCCAAAATCTAGTTCAGACCTGTCTGACTCCTTAGCTACCTAATTTCACCTGGACTAATACTACAATTGGGGAAAAAAAAAACAAACTGGACTAATACTACAATATGATCAATCTATAGAGCCTCCAAGTAATTACACATGAAAGCCATCATGTCATAAGAAGTAGGAGATTTACTGGAAGACTCCTTTCTAGTATCATCTTTTGGGCTGTTACCATTGCCTGTCTCCAAGAATTTTGGCGTCTCCACATTCATCTCATCAAGACCCAATATAAACCAACCAAAAAAACTTTCAGCCACAAAATCCATCAGGTCTGCCTTTTGTTTATAACATGATAGACAGATTAGTTCGATAAAACAAGTTCTTCAGACCAGAGAATATGCAAACTTTATATGATGCCTAATTGGAAGAAAGCATTTCAGAGTCTGGTTGACCATACAAGCAGACTCCTCAAAGTTCTTTCCATATATGCCAAAAATGATAAAAAGAAAACTTTAAGCCAATGCCTTTGATTAAAATCCAGTATAATTATCATCTTAAAAACTTGTCACACTAGAGTCATCAAGGAAACAACAGTCATTTGCAACAAAAATGCTAGTATTTGACTATTTGTTTAGACCCTATTGTACATCCATGCATTCCTTGAATGACTCACTGTTAAGGATTAGTCCCTGAAAAATTGAAAAATATATTCTAGACTGGAAAACGTAAATAAAAGGACTACACACATTATCACGGAACAGGGATACCTATTTCCAGCCTAAGACCTGCCTAAAATTCTCTGCAAGAACCAATAAAGCTTTGCACTGAGAAACAAAGCACCCATCTACCTGCTTAACCCACCCTGTATTTTCCCTTTTTTTTTTTTTTCTTTTTCTTCCAAACACAAAGAAAGAACCTCTATATAGAAATATAAAAGGGAGAATGGAACATCAAAATACAGATGAAGAGAAGAGAGGGGAAAAATAAAAAGCATCTGCTGACTCAGAAGCTTTCAAACTCCTCTTGAGAAGCACTCCTGATAAATGAACTATTGGCTTCCATGAACAGCAACAAATAACCAAATATGAAGAAAGATAACGGGTATGCAATGGTAATATGGTATAAACCAACAACAGAAGGTTAATTCAACTCATCATGAAACCAACAGAACATTAAACTGGAAAGGAATAGGCAAAATCAGAATAGAAAAGAATAATATGCTCTCCTGATGCCACCCATACAAGCACATGCAGCAACATAAACATATATAAGTAATATAATTTGTGAATATGAGAAATGTGAGACTTTCATGATTGCATAAGCAACTTCATGGAGCAAAAACTTGTGGGAGCTTCTTATTTCCTTTTACCTGATGAAAATTTTCAACTTCTTTCTTTGGTGAGTAACACAGGCAAGAACAATGGCAGTATAGATGGCTTCAGCTCCAATAGTCCATCCCATTAAAATTTAACCAACCTCAAGTATTCACCCACTCTGTGAGTGGTCCATCAAAGCCTGAAGTTATAATTAAGCACAAATGAGATGCTAGTTCCACCTACAACTTAGAAACCCATTGACACTCTGAAGATCTTACATGGCAATCCTTAATCCAAAATGTCCTTTGGGTGTTGATGCTTAGCGAATACTAAGGATAGTCCTTCACTGTCACGTCTGACTCATTATGAGTTCAATATTACCAAATTAAAAAAAGACTAAAACAACAAAAACAGAGTCTTGTTATTCAGTTACACAAGTATCCTCCTTTTGAGCCATAGTTTCATCAAAATCCTCATTCCCATCTGTATAACGAGATTCAAAATCGGAAACCATATTTGAATCTAAATCATCATTTCCCTTGCCATCTTGCCTGATTTTACCCTCAACCCCAAAATCTTCAATATCATTCTCCATATAGTCTCGTCTAGCACACGCTATTTCATTGCCTTCTCTATCCCTCCTATAGCTAACCAGTTCCCTATCCACCTTTGCCTTCCTAGGGCTTAATAAAACTAACTCGCCCAACTTCCGTCTCGCCAAATACAAATCATTTGGCTCAATTAACTCCCCTTTCCTATAAGCCTCCCTAAGAAACACTGTGTGAAGCTTCCCATAATTCCCCCTTGTTGAAACATAAAATATTCCCTGATGCTGAAGCAGAAAATCCTTCAACTTCTTAGGCAAATTCATTGCCATCCTAAAATGTGCAATTCTCTCCAACGTAATCTTCTTCTCTACAGTCAATGTCAACAACTCATGAATAGTTGCTACCGCCCTCTTTTCGATCCTCTTTTGAGCTTCTAATGACCTCAAATCATAACCAGACACATCCTCATAAGGTGACCAATATGGAATGCGTTGCCACTTCCAAACGGCAATCCTATAGTACTTACCTATCTTAAACCCAGGCGGAAAATTCACAATAAATGAGAACCTAATATCCTCAGCGTCAAATCCTTTTTCTCTATACTCTCTCTCCCTAACTTTCTCTACAGCACAAACAGCTAACTTAGGATCTCTTTCAACAATCTCAATGTACTTATTCCTAGTCTCTTGAGCATCAAACAATCTAAAAAATTGTGGATAATTGAGAATTAGTGAGTACTCGAAATCATCAGGCAACCCGAATTCTTTCCTTGCAATCCGAATGTGTTCCAGTCTTAACCGACCCGTATTCGACATCATAAGCAACTTCCTTAACCGGGTCACCGCGTCAGGTATCTGGGCATTGAGTGCTTCTTTTTCTTGCTCAATTTGGAGAAGCGCCTTCCGGGTTAGCCTACAATAGAGGATTCTAAGAACTGGGTGCTCATAGATTTCAAAAACGTGAGGGAATTTAAGGAGATAAGCGCCGGCTTCGTTTTCTTTGAAGCCGAGACCAAGGCGACGAGCGAGAGAGTCGAAACGAGAGATGGGGAGGGTATGGCTTGGTTGGGAAAGGATGAGGGATTGGAATTTGAGGACTTTGCGGGTCTTCTTCTCGACTTCCATGTAGTTGTCGAAACCGTGGTCGCGGACTCTTAGCTGTTTTTTGGGGATAGAGGTGGATTGAGACATGGGCTTTTTGGACGGGATGTCGTAGAAGAGAGTTAAAGGGAGAGGTGTGAGAGGCGATCGGCTTCTGGGTTTGAAGAGATTGGAAGCGTAAGTGAAGAAAACCAGCATTGTTTGAGATTGATTATTGTTAGTGGATTATGTCCAGGTTTAGGGTTTTGGATTGGGAGTGGCAAAGAAATTGAAACTTGTAAATGCAAATGGATGGTGTAACAGAAAACAAGAGTTTGCAGCAGGGGCCGGGGAACTTGGGGAACAGGCAGGCAGGTAGGCAATGCTAGCTAGGTCAAAGAAAGGCTTGATAAATTGTGGGCTGGAAGGGAAAAGATCTAACTCTTAATTTGTTAATAAACCCTAGGCCTAGGACTTGGCCTATGGGTTTATTTTGGATCCAAATGCGGACGGAAGTTAGCAAAACTACCACAAGGATCCAAAGAGCAGCCAACATTAAACCTGGATTACTATGAGCCGAACCTATGACAAAGCCCTGATTGCAACCTCCATTACAATATTTTTGGCAAAATTTAGTTTTTATTAATTAAAAAAAAAACCTTTAAGCCTCCTTTTCTTGGGGTTGTTTTTGCAAAAAAATAAAAATATGTTTTAGTAGCAACATTACGTAAAAAACCTCAATTACAAGTGGTGAATCCTTAAAAAACCTTAATTGTGATTGAAATAATTTTAACCTCAATTATTTAAAAAAAGAAATAAAAAAAATATAAAGAAGGGCTCCCGTTTCAGAAAGACACGCTCGTGAGAAATGATACATTGCATCGTCCCCACACCATCTCAGAAAAGAAATCTTAAATTAAACAAAGCATGTGAGAAAAACATAAAACCAACAACAACCAAACGCAGAGGTTGGGACCCCTGGAGTGCCAGGTCATTTCAGATTAAAAACATAAAACAAAAATAAAACCAAACTGCAAACAAGTAAAAGACAGGTGGCCTACGATCTTGATTAAATTCAAAACACAAAGTCAAGACCAGTCTTGCAATGTCCATATTGTGTTTTCTCTGTAACTTGACTAATTTGACAAAAACAAGTTTCCCAACTCACAAATTATGAGCAGAGCATCTCACAGGTCTACAAAGTCAATGCCCGAACCACAATCTCCCTGCCCCGAACAAGTATGAAAATCAAGTATCCTTGCTGTTCAGATTCACGGTAGAACAAAAATTCTAAATGAGCGGTTCGTTCTTGACTTGAAACCCAACATCTCAAGCTCCATTTCCTTTCCATTCTACTAAATGTCATTTACTTCCACATATCTATCCTTTTTTTTTTTCTTTCACAAAAGCACAAAATATAAATGTAAATTTGCTAAGCAGCACCTTACTCAGCTGCTCTAGCTATGTTAATGTAAGGGCAGCTTTGATTTTCTGAATTGTGCAGGAGATGAGATTGTTAACAGTTTCAACTGATTCCACTGTTAGCTTAGCAGTAGGAATGCTATTCACCAAAATCTGAAATCCAACTGTAAGTAGGCATCCACTGCTTATACTCCCATCGATGTCAGGTTTCATCAATGGTCCATTGGAGTTGCTTTGCCCACCACGGTAACTAGGTGAAATACCAGGAAGAATTGCAAATCCTGATGGTAAGAGTGCCACATATGCCGAATCACCACCGTTCATCACCACACTCATTGACGACATGTCAACAGGTGCATACACCACTAATGCACCTGAGGCATCACTCCATGTTTCTTGTAAAATTAGCATGTTGTTCTCATTTGCATTAATGGCCTGCAAAGTTGCATGAAAAGGAACTATACATCCCAATAAATAAAAAAAAAAGGGACATGAAAAAAAGAAAATGGCTGGACTAGAAAATCTAAGATATCTGCATTCAAAGTCTAATAAATCTAAATGGTGAATACTTACAGTGCCACGAACAAGAGACACACAGTTCCCTTGTTGCGGGCCCTTGGCAACATTGACCACCTCCTGCATTGGGCCACCATTGGACAAAATGTCCCAATGACTCCGCATCCGTTCATCCCGCAAGAAATCAAACAGCCTTTGCTGTGTTATAGGCATCCAAACAGAAGTCGAAGCACTCAACACAACCCCATGAGGCTCACCAGGATCATTTATATTCTTCCGGGTCATCACTCTTACATCTTCGCCCACATTACCAACACTAAGCCTGTCCCATTTATGCATACTTGAAGCACAAACTCCAGAACAGAAGTTACATGTCATGCGCTGTGCAAGCTTTAACACGCTTTTCCTCCCAGCTGTAGTAATTCCTGTGCCACAATAGCATGTATTAGAAGAGGACTCCTCCATATTTGTCAAAGAAGTAAAAAAAAAATGATGTAGCAGTTAAAAGGAGAAACCTGTATCATCTTCACCAAGGATGTCAGGAGACATTAGTACTGCCAAGCAGTCACATTGCCTTTGGAGAGTGGCAACCCACCTCTGCGCACCAAAGCCAAAACCAGAACTGATTAACGGGCGCAAGAGGTGGTGGATAGTGCTCTCATCATATTCTGAGTGTTCCACCCATGTAACCTGCATTAAACTATTTGTAAGCATGCTTGCTCGCAACAAATATCAATCCAATCTTCATGAGTTCTTCTAGAAGGCTGTCATGAATTTTATGGAAAAAAACAAAAAATGGATAAGATCTTTTAGCTTCATTCATCTCAAGTTTTAAAATTGTTCAATAAAGGATTCTTTTATAAGCCATATCTATCATGGTATTACTAGACAAAGCATAGTAACTTATACTGTCTCTACAAGTTTGGCGGGAAATGTTCTCTAAATAACCATTATCAAGTTGGTGATAAAGTGAGATAAAAAAGCATAAATGGGTTCATGACTCCCGGTAGACTCAAAACTAGATTGGTAAATTTCACCGAACAGTCAAGTGCATGAGAAAAATTTTCTTAGTCCTTTTATAAGATTTTCCTTCTTATTTTGTTAAGAAGAAATATCGTTGAAACTTCAACACACTCCTTCATGAAGGCATAGACAAGATCAGAGAGGGCTAAATCAAGTCCAATACGAGTAGTCCTGGTAAATGGGACAAAGAATGTCTACATAATTAGAAAATAGAAGCACAAACCTTGAATAGACATTTTCTGTCAAATTTTAAATTATAAGTGTGACATTATTTAAATGAAGTAATCAAAGAGCCACATAACACGGGGTTCTAAAGATTACAAGATAACGACTGGATCCAGGTCAAATCACCTCGTGGACAATTAAAAAGGCGCCAAGAGAGAAAGGAAGATAGGAATAGAAACATCAAAATATAATTTATAGAACAATTGATAATTCCAAGGATTTGCCAGCATATAAAGATTATGATTAAGGCACACTCAAGATTATACTAACATCAAGCTGTGACTGTAACCTTGATTCGCCCAACTCTGCCAGCAGCAGTGGACTAATTAAGTATAGACATAAGAAAACTTGGCTTTGAAACTGAAATTTTAAAATGATTTAACAAGCATCTTCTTGAAAAAAATAATAATTAAAGCTTCAGATTCTTAGGTGAAATCCTACTATATCTTATTAGCTACCCCATCAAAGAGAAGGGAAATTAGGTGAGTCATAACAGGACTATTAAATTCAGCAAAGCACAAGTCAAGAGGGACTGAGACTGCAGTCCAAGTGCATATTTTTTTCCCCTTCACGGAGTCTCAACCAAACTCAGAAGTTGTAGTTACAACAACCACCTCATTAAATACCTTTAGGAAAACATATAAGTGCAATGCATGCTGAATGAGCAGGTAAATATCAAGTACACGTTTCATTCAGAAAAAATTTAGAGAACAAAATAAAATATCAAATTAGCATTTACCTTGGAGTACTTATTGTCCATATCTTGGATAACACAGCCAGAAGGAAGCCTCTTATAGTTAGGAAACATCAGTGTACTCGCAGCATCTTGGATAGCATCAATAGAAACATCAACCACAGCCCACACACCCTCAGAATGCTGCTTGCAGCAACGGATGAATCTCACATGACGGACAGGAATCAGAGGCGAAAGCACTTGAAATTCAGCATCAATCTGCAGAGTATGATATTCATAAGGCCCAGCTAAGCAGCAAAAGTAATAAAGACAGATGGCAGAGAAAATACCACTTGCAATGCATTGTCTCTGGTTACACCCGTACCGCTGGATAGCACATCAACAGTAGCTGCTCTAGAAATCATGCAGGGAAACATTTCTGCCCAACGATTCTATTCATAAAATAGCAGAAAAAGATCTAGTCAAACAACAATTTCCAAACATTTTTATTTTTAAGATTCAATCAATAAAATAGTGATGAACCATCTGCAGCAACCAAAATCACCATCTCTACTAGAAGTGAAATTAATTTAACCAGATCAATATATATCAGATGAAATGTAAAGGTGACATGAAAGTAGACAAAAACACTACCAGAGATTATATGCAGAAAAAATAAACTTTTCTTTCTCAGATTCTAAAAAGAAGTGTATCAAAAAGGCAAAACACATGATCAAATCCTAACAGCAGATAGGAATTTCAATAGAACAACAAAAGCAGAGCAACAAGCAAATTGGTGGCATACCACATCCATTAGTGTCTCTACAAGAGCCAAGCCACGAAGGAAAACCAGGCCAGTTTCCCTTGTAGCCTCAGTTGTATATCCACTTGGTTTGATGCCAATGCGAGAGGAGAAAGTCCTCCTGTACTCCTCAAGATTCAAGGTTTCCATCCCACCGTCCAAGCCTTTGATCCAAAGAGGATTATCCATCTGTGCCATCTTAATTAATTCATCCATAGCTGCCAAAGCAGCATCTACGAAGGCTGACCTGTCATATGGCATTTCATTGGCCAAAGATTTCATTAATGGCGTCATATCCCCATCAACAAATTCAAATCCCATTGGCAATGTAGTGCCTGCATTGTTTAAACCACCAAAACCATTTCTTCCTACTGCAAGCTCCAAATTGGAGTTTAAGCCCTGGGAAGGAATAGGACTGGCCGAGGACGACAAAGGCCTGCCCAAAAACTTGTTCGTTAAAGCGCATATCCGGCTTAGTTCATCTTTTAATCGAGCATTCTCAATCCTAAGTTGGTGCTGTTCGTAAGATATTTCACCAGGCACTGCTGGACCACCACAACTGTTGCATATCGGGCTAGTAATGGCCTGCTTCAACAAATCATTCTCGGCCCGGAGTTTATCATTTTCTTGTCTAAGAATTACATTTTCATGGCGTTCCAATTGGGTCTGGTTTAACCGATAAGTTTTCATTATTAGCGATCTCGAACTCAAGTTTAGAACTCATCATCAAGACTAAAAAAGAGCAAAACAGATTATCAGCTTACCTTCATTTGGGTTCTCCTGTTTTGAAACCAAAATTTTATTTGCTTGCTCTCTAAGCCCAGCCTCCTGCTAAGTTCCATTCTTTGTTTTTCATCCGGGTGAGGACACTCCTTGAAGAAACTAGACAAAATAAAGACAAAGAAATAAACTTCAATATGCAAATCCATGGAAAGTTTGATGATCAAATTCCAAATTAAAAAATTCCTTGAAAGAAATCAAAGATAAGCAAGCATACGATTCAAGCTCTTGTATTTGATGTGGAGTGTGCCTGTGGTACTTCTTCTTCTTAGGCGGTCCATCATCAGTAGCATCCTGATCATCACCGGATGCACCTTCAAAATTACCACTTCCAGACCTACTCTCATATCCATCTTCCCTCATCCTCCCAACTAAACCCGGATCAAAGTTTTCTCCAATCAGCCCCATCTCACCATGACCATCCATTCTTTTCTGCACCAAAAGCAAGTGGCCCTATTAAATGACCATCTTAAAAATAATAACAAATATACAGCCAAGATCAAAACAAAAAATAATAAAGTAGGTAATAAATTAATTAAAGGACAATTGCACTGGGGAGAGAGAAGAGAGAGAGACGAAGCAATACATAGGAGAGATAGAAGGAAGGAGAGCTTTGCATAGATTTGGGAATATGTTGGGTGAGAAGAGGTGGCTCAACAATGGCATCACTTAGCATGTTGCTGTGTGGAACAATATCAGCCACAACAATCCTTGCACCCATACCACCACTGTCGCCGCTCTACTAATCTTGACCCCCAAAACTCATTAAATTAGGAAAAAGAAAAAGAAACGAAAAACCCAATTCTTCTTTATCTCACTTCCTCTATATTATTTCATTTCGTTTGTTTTTCTAGGTTCCTGGAAACGGTCACTGCCACTTTCACAAGGTCATGCTTCAATTTCGTTTCTCTTTCTCGTTCATAAATTTGACCTTACAAACAATACCCTGATTAAGCTAAAGTCTTAACCCTTTTTAACAATTTCGTCTCAAGAAAGAATGAAGAAAAGCTGTCTCCTTGTCAACGCCCATGCATGACTCAACGCACCTCTCTCTCTCTCTCTAGAAGTCTCTTATTGCTCTCTCTCTCTCTGTCAAGAAAGTCAGTTTAAGAAAGAGAAAACAAGGAAGGAACGGGACAAGCGAGACCACTTTTTTATCTTATACTTCAAAGAGTTCACACCTTTTTATCTCTCTGCCTAAGCCCAGCCTGGGAAAATCGCTGAAAACGCCCTGGAAAGACTAAAAAATATGAAAAACCCTAATTTTTCCAGCAGCATGCTTGACCAATTGTTTGTCAGTATATTTAACAAGGAAAACGACCCCATAAAAAAAAAAAAAAAAAGTAAGCGACCTCAAAAAGATGACATGGAAAAGAAAAGAAAGACAAAATCAAAAACCGAAAACCGAAAACCAAAAACCAAAAACCAAAAACCAAAACATAAAAAGGCAAAGCTTATCTCTTTCACATTCACTGATTCACACTTTTCAAATCCTATATATGATGTAGTAATAAACTGAACCAGAATCAAAGTATGACCCAGTTGACCTTTTCCTCTCTCTTACAATTCAAGAAAAGAAACAGGCTGTAAGACATAAATGCACAAAAACAAAAAACCAAACCCAGTATGAAGATTAAAAAGAAAAAAGTTAATACCTTCCTGGGTCGTACAGTAAGCAAAGGTCAAGGTCAGTGTTTTTGCAGTGAGGGGAATAGATACAGGTTATCGAACCTTCTCTCTCTTTCTCTTTCTTTAACTGTTGGAATCTGTAGAAGAGTAAAAGGACAGAAACTATATAATAAAATATTAAGCTTTTTAGATTAAAACAACCCACAAAAAGAATACTAATAATAATGAGGGATCGATTTGCACTGGAAGCCGTGCAGTAAGCTGACTTACAAAGAACAGAAGGGAGAGAAAATCAATGTTCAAACAGGTTTATGTTTTGTTTGATTTAATTTAAAAAAAAAAGAAAAGAGAAAACCCTTAAACCCTAATGAAGGCTGCAGCGATCTCTCTCTCCCTCTTTTCTTTTCTTTTCTTTTTTTCTTTTTTCTTTTCAATGGCCTTTTCTTCTTCTCTTTTCTTCCATGCACAATGTGTAAATAAATAGAGGGACCGAGAGAAAATCAAGAGCTTAGTTCAGTGTGGGACCCACTACCTCCAAAAATTGGGTTTGGGATGTCCGCCCTTCTCTCCTTTCACGCGCTTGCCCCGCGCTTGTGTCTTTCCGCGGGACTTGACCTCACTGGCTCGTCTAATATCCTACTGTGCTCGACAAACCCGCTCCATCTCAAAACTGCAACGTACCAGTGTGGATGATATTATGGCCATTCAGGAAAAAATTTAGGGGCAATATCGTACTTCTGATTTATGTATTTGGAGTCGGTCTAGATTCCTCAATCTAATTCTGCCCTCGTAGGACTCTGCTCTAACCCTAATTTGGACGCCAAATTCTTCAATTTTTTTTTTTAACAATGTAACTGAATTAGGGGATGATTTTAAGATTCATTTCATTATAAATAAACATAATCACTTCATTTCAATAGTAATAAATTTCTCAATCCCAAATCTACAATTAATCGCTTTGTATTCGTTTCTTGTCCAAGCATGTCCTCAATAACACAATTTTTTCTTTTTTAAAAAACACCAATTCAAGACCTAACTTGTTTACTTGGTTGCAAGTTTCAAGCATTTTTTTTTCCTCGTTATTCTTTTAGCTCAAAAAATGGAAGAAGAATGACATTGAACTTCGAAGATATCAAAAGAGTATTTTGTGATGATGAATCAATGACTTTAATTGTACTAAAGTATGAAAATGTTAAAGGTAACAACATCAAACTAAAAAGGCAATGGAAACAAATAATTCCATAAAAATCAATGGAAACATGTTGATTTCATAATGCTAAAATGGGGTTTGGAAAGTTGCCCTATGGGCAAAAGTTAAGACATTTAAGAGTTAGGAGCATATCATCTCTCTTTTGGAATTATATTGATTGGTATATATGATAAGTATCACATTTACCAAATTGCATCTTGAAACGCTTAATTATGAGATTTTGAGCAGATTATCAAATCACGCATTTTAAATTTTATTGAATTATGAGTACAACAAGATTTAGCAGTACCAGATAGACAATAACATTACATGGCAATCTTCTTATGCTTTTTATTTTCCACTAAAACAATATTAGTATTTATGAAAAATCAACCGCAAACTAATTTAAATTACAGTTTTACCACATGCATGAAGTACGTATTTTGTTTGATCATTATGTCTTTAAAGTAGTTACCAAAAAGAAAAAAAATTACATCATTTAAAAGACATTTGACAATCCATACATATTTATCAATTCTCTAAGGTTAAGAGATACATTATACATTACTTAAAAAAAAGAAAGATACATTATACGTTACACAAATTTATATTAAGTCATGTAATAAAACATAAACATTTTAAAAGTAAATAAATGTACATCAAATTATCAATTAAATTTTCAAATACATTTAGATTATATAGCTTATGAACAATTATTTTTCTCGATCAAGTCGGATTTGATTGGTGAAGCGTTTTTTGTGGGGGGCAATGTGAAATTGTGCTCTGATGGACCAATCGAGTTCCGTAGAACTTGAGGCCTGTTGTGTTTGCAGGATAAAATTTCATATGGAGGCAGACTTTCCTATATTGGGCCAAGCTCAGTCCGGAAGTGAACTATAATTGGGACACAAAATTTAAAGGAGATGGCAATAAAAAATATTTTTTATAATAATAATCATCAGTTAAGGTAGATATTGGGCTGATTTGTAAAAGATATTTATCCCTGTGAAAAAAATTGATTCTAGACACTAACAAAATAACATATGGTATCCTTATCCACACAAGAATTGTCTTTTTTTTCTTTTTCTTCATTTTTGTCTTATTCGGCCAAGTTCGACGTACTTTGGTGTGCCGCAAGTGTCAGTGTGTTGGATACGAATACAACACGGGTACATGAGGGGTCTTTTGAACCGTGCTTCATACCTTGTTGTTACTTCTAGTTTTCTTGTCAATGACTTTTGTATTATGTTTTAGCTTAGCTTGATTGAATGGATATATCTTTGTGAACATTGAGTAAAAATGATTAATTTTGTAATTGGTAAAATCCTTTGTGAACACAGAGTAAAAGCGATTAATATTGTAATTGGTAAAATTTGGCATTGCAGGACTGAATTATGCCGCTTCAGTGGTTCCAAGGTATACCCTGGTAAAGGTATCAGATTTCTTCGTTCAGATTCTCAGGTAAGCTTTGGTGATGTTGATCACTTGGCTTCATTGAAGTTTATTTTTCAATTTTGGTATTTATTTTTTGTTTCTTGAGTTGATTTTGTTTATTCTTTTAATGAAATTGATGAATTACATTTAGGTCTTCCTCTTTGCCAACTCTAAATGCAAGAGGTACTTCCACAACCGTCTAAAGCCATCTAAGCTTACATGGACAGCAATGTACCGAAAGCAGCATAAGAAGGTCAGAATTTATTTTCTTCCCTGTGAAGCCTACAGATAAATACGTACAAATCTATCTCTTTATTAGGGAATAAGCCCTCTCTGCCAAAATGACTCTAGGTATTGCTTGTTTTCTAATCTTCATTTTCGGTGCCAACACCTGCAGGACATTGCTGCAGAAGCAGTTAAGAAGAGGCACCGCACCACAAAAAAGCCCTACTCAAGGTCCATTGTTGGTGCTACACTGGAGGTCATTCAAAAGAGAAGAACTGAGAAACCTGAAGTTCGAGATGCAGCACGGGAAGCTGCTTTACGGTATGTTTACTCTGTTGTTGGAATTACATTGTAATGCAATTATCATTTAGTTGGCATTTAGAAGTTTGTTCCTGGATCACTTGATCTTCTGCAGTGAAATTATAGAGAGGATTAAGAAAACTAAGGATGAAAAGAAGGCTAAAAAGGCTGAGCTAATGTCAAAGCAACAAAAGACTCAAAGTAAGGGTAATTTGCCCAAGAGTGCTGCAACAAAAGGCCCCAAGCTTGGAGGTTGTGGTGGAAAGCGCTGAAACTTTTATTCTTGGTGTAATAGAAGTTCTCAGCGGTTTTGTATTATGTGATCTTGAAATTTTCTGCCCTGGATATTTTATCAGCTTGCACTGAGCAAATTTATTCTTTCATGGTTTACTGTTTGGTGGTTTCAAATGGAGAAATGAAAGGTATCGTGGATTCATTTGGATCTTCGTTTTTTCTGGATTTTCTTTAATGTACCAAGAATTGATTTGGTTACAAAAGGTGGCATTTTTTAGAAAGCTGGAAAAATATTTTTTTCTTCAATCATGCTTTTTGTATGGTCCCTGAGCGCAAGGAATGCCGTGCTATAGCATTGCCAAGAATCTTCAAATCATACACGATATATGCAACATATTCTTTGTCCTCAGCTCAATCTCAAATAAAGCATTTATTTACCTTTTTAGATTGGTTACTTCCACCTGCAAGTTGTTGAAGAATTGGGTTAGTTTAGAAGAAAATTATGCATTAGGAACCTCGAAAATTAGGTTCCCTATCGCCCAAACACGCCATGCTGAGCATGGTGGAGCCACCTCCTGAAGAATTCCCGTCTGTTGAAATGTTTCGACGCTTCAGGTTTTGGCGAGGATGTTGGATCTTGACGGTTCTTTTGGTGAACAGATCATGAAGGGAAATTCTCCCATTCCAAATACCAATTACGCTTTTGGGTATGGCCGTGTGGCCTTGGCGTGTATATCATAGACATGTCATTATTTCTTAACAGCTTCTTTGTGCCCTCTTTCTGCTAACAGTAGCTTCTTAATTTGTACCCTGACAGTTGATAGTAACTAGCGCGGGTGGTCTGATTTCGTCCTTGCTAGAGTAATTAAGTTTGAACTTAGTGTGATATGTACAATTAATATGAATTAATTATTTAATAATAATTTAATCAGAAAAAGTGCATAGAAAAATTATGGAAATAGTAATTTAGATGAGCTATGAAAGTAAGTAGAGAATGTTGACTAAATATTTTGAAGGTAAAGAATTATGAAAAAGAATAATTGCTAAAAAAAAAAAAGTGCCGTGAAACATTCAATACTTATAAGGTAGAAAATTATCTTAATTAGAAGTTGTTCAGCATAATTATCAATTACTATTATATGCAATCATTTCAAAATTTTTGAACCAATTTTCATGAAAATCCAATGATTGCCTGGGTTTAAATTGTTGTCAATAGCAAATTGGTGCCAACCTTTGAAAAAAACCTCTAATGTTTAGAAAATACAACCAACAATAAGTAGTCAGTCACCGACCAATCTTCCCAATGAATGCATAGAAAATATATAGAAGGTTCAATCTTCATCAGGGCAACATAATCTATCTTAAAGTGATGTCCAATCTGCATAAGAAATCCCATTGATAAGTGATAACACAAAATTTATATTATAAACTACATTTTAGATGCACAAACTATCATAAACAGCCATGATTTATATTCCTTTCAGTCTAGTTGTAAAGTTTAAAAAAGAAAAAAGACCAATGTAACTTATGATATATTTGCACACTAATGAATATAGTGTTTGCAGCTCTTACAGTAACTATAGCCTCTCCCACTTTGAATGCAAAATGTAAGTATTTTAGGTACCACACAAAAGAGGAAACAAAAACAACAAAGATATTAGCATAATTGAGCATAATTGCTACTGTTCAGACACATCATTTTATCGTTACCAAAATAAACAAAGAATTGCATCCAATGGATCAAGAACCATCCAAAAACAATGTTCATTTGCATTTCTATGCCAAATTATAAAATGCAAAAACCCAAAAAAGATGACAATAGATACCTAGCTAAAGAACATACTTTATGTAGAATAGATATCAAGGCTATGTTTGTCTTACCAACTCCGGTTGGTGCACAAACCTTAAAGTATATCAATATGACTTTAAATTTAATGAAAAGTGATCTTTTTATCAATATAATTTTTCTTTAATATTTTTCTGAAAAAAAATATCACAATATTATCACAAAACACAACAAAACAAAATACTAAACTTTTCACTCACTTCGAACCTAATCAGCAAATAATCTTTAATAACTATTTCACAAAACAATTCTAACTATCATTTATACAAACAAATCTTAAACAACACAACCTTTAAACTTAAAAAAAAAAAAGGCATGTAAAGCTCTTCAACTATACCTTTATAATAAATATCAGAATATTATCTCAAAATCTAAGGATAGGTACATGCTTTCCCAAAATCTTTGGTTCTTAAATTTCACTGGTAGAACCTATCCTTATTGACACTTAAATATTTGGCCATTACCTTTCCTCCAGTGTTCCTCATGCCATCTATAAGAAAGCACCAAGTGAATCCTAATGCACCAATAAAAAAGTTTGATTCCATTTCCATCAAGAAATTAACAAAATGATAACTCGTACTGGTTTTTCTTCAAAGGGTCACCCTAAATCTAGCCATCAATATCTTTCCTATTTGGCATGTCACATTTGTGTAGCATATGATTTTGTTTTATTTGTTACTTCCTGAAATTTAGTTAGACCATTCGCGATATTAGATCAATGCACAATAGCAACATGTTCAGCCTGTTTCTTTTTTTTTTTTATAAATTTTATAGTTTTAATATTTTCTTTCTATAAGTAAAATGTTAGAATACTAACCTGAATTTTAGTGAAAAGCCAAATGTTCTTGAGATATGGAAAGCGCTTTCGAATTTGGTTAACAAGTTCCCTATATTTTTCATATTTGACCACTTTCATTTCACATGCCTTGTCTCCTATTCTTACATGCGTACTTAGCAATGGTCTAGGAACCTAAGGTTTATGATTTGGCCACACAAATTCTTTAATAACTGAGTTTGGCTAGTTCACAATCAACTGTTATAAAAAGTTTTCACGAGTAATAGTTTCAAAATGAGAATTGAGTTCAGCATGCATGATAATAATTCTTTCTTCAAAGAAACAAGTGGTCAAGATTTAGGTGAACATGAATAAAGAACCCATCCCTCTTGTTCATTCAAATAGTTAAGTACCCTTATATCCATTATATACGTAGGCATGAATGTAAAGATCGACAAAATAACATCAACCTTGTGATATGAAGATTCTCTAACTTAGTGTTAATTACATTGGCAAAAGTTAAATATCAAAAGACTCAAACTTAGATGAACAAACCTTTGTCCACTCTCTATCAATATTTGCAAGAACCAATTTTGCAGCTTCTTTTCTAAATGCAGCATGATGAGCAATGTTCAATAAGCCACAAGTGTACTCTGTTTGAAATCTCATTAGATAGTAAACAACCTATAAAAAATCAATGGTATTCTAGTTACTCAAACAATAACCATATGATAATCTATACAACATTGGTTTTTCATATGAAATAAGGCATGTGTTTGTGAGTATATATTTATATATACTTTCCCCAAATCAATACTTCAAAAACTTCATGTTAGAAAGGAAACCAACAAAGGGTACTTGTGCTATCCACCACCTTTGATCCATTTTATGGTGAAAAACAATTAAACTCCTATTTATCTCTGTTATAGGCTGCAATCTAAAGATCACCCTATACCCTGTATCAAATAGTGAAATCACTAATTGAAGATATACTTGTTGAGATATTATCGAGACCGAAGGTGGGTCACTTGAAAGCCAGATGAATAAGGGATTGAAAACGAGGGCTAAAAATATTTTTGATAAAATTAAAATAAGAAATCATCACCAATCTTTTTTAAGGTATGATTGACCACCAAAAAATTTTATCTTTTTAATAAAACATTTTAAAATAAATTTTAAAGTTTTATAAAAAGAACAAATTTATGGTCTGCGAAATTAAAGTTTATGTCAAGAAGTCGATTACTTGTGAAAAAAGTTAACACTCCTATAGCACCTATAAAAAAAGGTACCAATCGATTGTATGCTATCATTTAATTTTGGTAAAAATAATTATATTTTCCTTAATGTTTAAAATTAATTTCTTTTTTCCTTTTTTTTAAATACAAATCAAATTTTAAAAAACCTAACTTTTTCTTTTTTTTTTTGTTTGAATCAAGATGAAAACTCCTTAAATATCAAAACACCTTTTTCATTCCTCTTATAATTAGGTAGAGCTTCAAAAATATTTTTAATTTGAGTGTTTTCAAATTGCTCAACTAAAATTGAAAAACACCACACATAAATGATAATCATTGAGAGTCTACTTATAGTTAGGTTAGACCTTGATGACTATATTTAATTAAGATGTTATCTTATTTAAAATATTTTTCTTTTAAAAACTCATTTTGAAAAAAACTATGCATGATATGCATAAACACAATATATAATGAATGCATGATATGAATAACAAAGTATGAATGCATGATAATTTATAAATGCATATAATTACGTAAAATGAAATGCAAATGCATGATTGGTTTGGGGGTTGGTTTGGTTTTGGAAGGTGGTTTAGGGTTTAGGATTTAAGGTTTACGATTTAGGGTTTCAAATTTAAAGTTTTATGAGAATTTAAGGTTGCATAGGTTTAAGGTTTAGGTTTTCACATTTGGGATTTCACGGGAATTTGGGTTTTGAGGGAATTATGCATGTGACAAATACACATTACAAAAATGACATTAACGATGCATGTGACAAAAGCATGGCATGAGAACAAAATAATTACAAACCTAGGTATTTACAAAACTAAATCACAAACAAGTTATGTATGAAAATTCATAAGGAAAATGGATCAAACATGAAAATTTTCAAAAATTGGATGAATGTTCCACCAATTTTTCTTAAAAAAAAAAACCTAACCAAACAAAAACAAAAAATCACTAAGAGAACTTATTAAACTAACACTCTTTCATTGAAAATTTGTCCAAACACATTGAAAACTTGAAAATCATAACAAAAAACATAATCTAATGCATAAATTTAAGCAACAACCATCCACAAAAATGAAGAGGAAGGTTTGGCCAAACCAAGAACCTTTCATGGCATTTCTTTAAGTATATTTCATCCCGTTTCACTCAAACATGCATTGATCATCATAATATCCATCATTCAGAAGAATTGACTTATGAGAGAGGTTTTATCAAACATATAATGAACTAAATAGAAAAGAAATCATGGAGCCAAACATTTAAAACCAAACAAGATGCATATATTAAGCTAAAAGTTATGCAAATAACAAAAAAACTTACCATTTAATCATCATGAACATTATTGAAAAGCAAGTAAAACATCCATGGAGAACCAAAAGGAGGTTTGGCCATGGTGAAGGAAAGGTTGGCCGAACCTCCAAATGGTGTGTTATTGTTCTTGAATTTTTATTGCTTGATTTTTCTATTCCAATCCAAGCTATAAACTAGTTGGAAGAAGTTTGATTCAAGTTTTGAGAAAAATAAAATA